GTCTTACTTAATTCCAGGCGGTTGGAAGTTGTCTGATATATACTACAGTCTTCTGCATTATATTGTTCTACATTGCGTGTTGTTTATGACTTACCCACGACAAAACGAATAGTAATTAATTGGAGTGATATACGTAAGATTTCTTTATCCCGTGTCGCAAGTTCTTCGAGGCAAGTTTAAAGTACGTTCAGTGCTTCCGGGGCTGAGCTAATCTAACGTAGAAATTTTACAGGCGTTGTCAACATGACCTCAGTCTGCTCACCAGATGTGCTAATTCGGATCGGATTAGATCTCTCACTGAGCAGATGACTGTCTTCATATTACAGTGCCAACAGTGCACTGACCTGCCAAGTGACAATGAAACAACTCTGGCATATCCCGATAATGTGCCTACAGAATCACGAAGTGAGGACCGCAGACGATAGGTTACGGGCTGGATGATCGGATTTTTCTCTCGACTACAACGTTCAGATCGCTTCTGGGGTCCATCCAGGTTCATATCAAACGGACACCGGAGGATAAACGGCTGGAGCGCGAAGCTAAATGCTTACCTGAATCTATTGCTTCCTGTTGCTTTCCCCCTCTTCCGCACAAATATTCTCTTGAGCACGTTGCTCTGAAACACCTTCAATCTATTAAGCTTCTCCTTTGTGTGCGGATCATGTTCCGTGAGAATACAAAAGGCTAAAGATGGCTGTCAATAGTCTGACAGAAGTTCACCGAAATTTTAGAAGTACTTGCTGCCTCCATCATCAGGGCGATGACAGCAAGAACCTCTGAAACACTGGTGAAGTTCTACCAGATTACACCGCGCTACAAGCGTGAAAACTACCGTCTTATTCCTTGCCGCCGTCTGAACCTCAAATCTGAATACAGGATCTTGCTTTGATGTTTCTAGATGAGGACCAGGAAAATGAAGATTTTGAACTAAGTAGAATTTCAGCTAGCAATCTCTAAGTTTATTCTGATCTAAACTTCGTTAATGCAACTTTAATTTACTACTGTAGTTACCGCATGTTTCAACTTTGCCATATTTTCGTAGAAATTGTTAGCAATTCGTACGTTGTGGTTTTCTTATATTACATTCTGATGAGACATGGACATAGAGACTATTTCTTTTAGTTGCAGTTAGTCTAGATTACTTTCTTCTGGTGTCTTAACAGAGCTGTTTTACGGCATTTATGTTTTCTCTGTGTAAAGTAACGTATTTCAGGATGGATTATTAGCGTGCTAAATATTTATTATTAATTTACAAAGTAATGCAAGATGTTATAGAAACATTAATATCTTCTCACGACTAGAGAAAGCCGTCAAGTTTTCGCAGCTGCAGTAACAGTTGAATAATTGCACAGAAGTTATCAGATCCTCCCCCTGTGCTACTCTTCACTTCCTTGTGCGACGAAAAAATAATTTTACAAACACTGAAACACGCTTCCTTATAACGAAGAACGGCTTATATCCAGTGAAATGAGCTGTATCAGTTTCTGCTTTCAGATTTCAAAAGCGATGCTGTCAATTTACCAATCTCCAAATTACTAAACTTTGTTCTATTACTTTGAGACCTAAAAACACATATAAAGGAGCTTATAAGATTCTGATGACTTTTGATCCACCCTATTCTATATTCTGCAAAACCTACCAATATTTCCCACCGATGTGCAACGTGCCCAACAGTTCCGATCATGTTCGTCATTACCAAACATTCAGAACCATGAAAATTTTTGCCCAAAATGGCCAACCATATCCAGTCGTGTTATAAAACATAAGTTCGGTTATTGAAAACCCAGATCTTCGTAGTAAACCTCCCAATATTATTCAAGTAGGCATGTGTTTCGTCTGGAATTTACAGCCCAGTTCGCGAGTAAGTTTCCGGTCCTACATAATTCTGTCCTGATGATTGTAAGTGTCGCTCATCCCGCGCTCTGTCGGACCGGTGGAACAAAATCCCCGGGTCTCCACTTTATGCGTGTTAAAATATAATTTACGTTGAAAGCGTCTTTTTATTCACATCCTTCCAGGCCTATAAATTAACACGTTTCTTTGACACTGGGCAGCGCTGTACTGGTGGTCTTAGATCCCACACGTGCTCGTGACCTTTCTTACTTCTCCCGTAATGCCTTGAATGTATTATCCTTGAGCGTAACATAAAACCACTTAACACGAAAATAACTTTCAAGTTAATTTCTAAACCGCTGGTTCTTATTAGATAAAATCTACTTCCGTTTAATAGAGAATTCTCGTTTGACTTTACAATATTAAATTAAGGAAGGGAAAATATTGCTACAAAATAAATTTAAAATTAAATCCTCTTACCTATAAATGATTAACTTCTTCCTCAGCTCAATTAGAAAAAGTATGGCGCTAAGGGTATTGAAGGAGACGGTATTTTGTGACTTCCCTATCTCATCCACATGCAATGGTCAGTATCTCTCCATGAAATGGGCCGTTGCTTGCTACGATATTCCTGAACTCTCATAATAAGATAGTATAGGACTGTTATAGGTCGCTTTCGACGAATCTGCTGAAATAATTCTGAGCCGGTTGTAGTAACTAAATATTTCGTTTAATTTTATTACTATCATTCGATTTCCCCCCCCCCCCCGGGCCCCTAAGAAAGGAAGAGGGCAGTATATATTTTCAAATTATCAACTGTGGTCTTATGTACAAGCATTTCAACTTCTCACGGCGACGACTATGAAGATAAATGTCCTCTGGAATGTTGCACCGTGTAGTTTGACTTTACAGAGAAACTTACAGCCTCCTTCATCAGGGCGATGAGTTTGGTAGATAATGAGCGACGTTTCAGACAAAATTCAGATGATACTGCAACCATGCAAGTATGAAACTACAAATTTAGGGGCAACAAAACCTTATCGGTTTATTTCTTGAAAAGCTTTTTATGTTTTGCTTCACGAGTCGCTAACCAAGGCACTTAAGAAACAAAATCAAAAACTGCAGCAACGCCCAGCGTTGCGTGGTGTTAGTCTTTTATTGTGACTCTGAATAACACGCAACAATAAGTGAATATTTTTCTCTATTACCCTGTTCCTTATTCTTGTAGACATACGATATTTTCCCGTTCAACATAAAACAGTAGTGGCAAATAAAGGAAATCGACCAACTTTGAACTGTAAGAGGTTTTACCTAGACTTTACTTCGTGGCTGAGTTATAAAACTTTAAATTTCTTGGAACGATCCTCCTAATAAATTGTTTAATATCGTCTGAATTACAAGGTTCAATTGTAAATAAAACTATATGCACAATATATTTACCAGTCGTTTCTTTATGTAGTATCCGCCCCCCAAGAAAAGATATTTCGGACGCCGATTAGTATTTTCTGGGATAGGTCAATCTGCCTAGGCACAAGAATATGTTACACTCCGTTAGAAGTGCCTCGCCCTAAGTCTTCTGAAAGGAAACCAATTTTAAGTTACCAATTCCCGGCTAGCCACAACACGTAGATTGAAATATACGAAGGGAAATAGATGTCGTAGGATTTGAGGATTTTACGGCAGTTAGTCTGAAGATTTCTGCCTTCTGGGTTGTTGCGCCGTGTACTCTGGTAGAAGTTTACCGACGTTTCAGAGGTCACTGCTGCCTCCATAATCGGGGCGATGGGCCCTGTTAATGGCGGCAGTAGTGACCCCTGAATCGTCGGTAAACTTCTACCAGACTCCACAGTACAACAAACCAGAAGACAGCAATCTTCGAAATAGGTGTCAATAATTCTACAAAAATTTCATTATATTAATTATTACACTGTGGAGATTCAGATCATTAATTCGGCGCTACAAATATGGCTGAAGCAGAATTGCCTCACGTCATGAGAGCTTTAAGCGACAACTTCGTCTTGTTAGAGATTGTCAGAGAACAAGCGTTTGCAACTTTCTCGAAAGTTCTTTACTCGTTACTCTGAAGGCCGAATTGTGATGCATTCTGGATGACGACATATTGTCGACTCATCAGAAGATGCCGCCAGAGCGAGAAGAAGCAAAGCAGAATGAGGCAATCTGTTATTCTGCGTTAGCGCAACAGCGATTCAAGGCCCTACTACAGTTAATTTTCATGGAAGAAACCACAACACCCTCACCAATGATAGCAAGTCTTAGGCAGAAATTCGAATAGGATGCATCTCAAATATGACACAGGAGTCATATCCTTACATCACGACCTTCATTTACGTGTCTGTATGCATCATTACTCATGGTACGAAGAGATATGTTATCAACGTTTTATTGAACTGAAGTGCAAATCGCGTTTAGTCCACTGTTGCCCGCAGAAGGTTCGGTTATGACGTGTGTGGGCTAAGTGGATGGCTGAGCCGGATCCCTGTAATTCCTCAGACACCTCCGGGCCCATGGTAAGGCCTGCCCTTCCCGCAGCCATGTTCATTCATTAACCAGCGATGAAACAAAGTTCGTTTGTGTCATAAAGGCAACGCGATTGTGACTGATAAACCAGAAAGTGGGCCTGTCAAGGAATAATTTCCTTAAATAAGAATTGCTCCTTTCTTCCGAAAAAATAGATTCCTTGTTTAGGTTTTATCACATACGGTAATGTGTCTAAAAAGCAAATAGGGCAGTGTTAAATTCTTGCATGTTGTATGGGAACTTGAAAGCTGTATCGTGGATTTTAAAGCTTTTATATCAGCTCCTTTTGAAATTTAGACGGACATTTTTTATAATTACACTTTGGTGTGAAAGAGCTAGCAAACTTGCTTCTTGCTTTGGTGCACGAGAAATAAGCTATTTAGGCTTAAATAGACGACATCGGTGATAAGAATGGCAAGATATACATTAATAAATATTAGGAGTGCTATTAGTTTTATTTGTGCGGAAATAAATGTTTAATCCGTGGAATCCTAACTCTGCACCCCGCTGTTTCTTCAAGACGTCGTGCTAAAGAACAGATTTGGCTTGACTTTTGACTTCATTCACTTCCTGTTAGTAGGAAAATAATTGTGGTTTATATTCTTCTTTTGTTTCTGTTCCAGTGTTCAACCATAAAACTCATATGACCCAGGATTTCAAGGGAATTGTCTTCACTTCATTCAAAGGCGGAGATCACGTAATTTATGAACCTCAACTGTTCTTCCTTTGTGTCGGAATAACTGCTCACGAGTTACTGCTGCTATTCCAAATTCTTCAACTCATAACAAGTGAAGAATCTTGCTCACATCACTGAAGGTTCCAGAATCGTAAGTTACAATTAAAATATTAATTTATCGTAGAAATATTTTGTTTTGCAGTCATTCATGATATCCGTCTATGCACAAGGTGAAAATAATGGCGAATATTTGTTGTGTCTGCCATCCTCGATTCCGTATTTGCAAGTCATTGCTTTAGGTAGTCTGATTATAAATAATACCTTATAAATATATGATATCTGAAATTCGCAAAAGGCATCTCCAGTGCAGAGTGTAAATTCATCGTATCATATACTGAAATAAAACCTTCTTCTCCGAATGGGGAGCGGGCAAACATGATTTTATAAACCTCAGCATTCGTCTGTAGACAGATAAATCCAGCCACTTAAAAGTTTCGAATGATGGAAACTGCTTATCAGATTCAGTGAATGCATATAAAGAAAGTACGTTTTAAAAAGACATTCGGAGTAGAAGAGACACGAATTTGGTCTTCAAACCTTCACGACGCTAAAATATATTGGTGGTTGTTGCATAATTCCAGATTTACGCATAAATATTATTAGAAAGTTTACCTTCATTTGCGTCAGTTTTCTTGGTGCCTGCACCGCTTAAAAGAATCTTTATCTCGGCTGGTTACGTTTGGTTGTGCGCTAAGCGGAGACATAGCAGATAATCTCCGATCAAATAACATTCTATCCTTCGGTGGTCGCTCCTTTCTTACACATGCTTTAAGCTCTGCTGTATAAGCAAAGGGCAAATGTTATTTTGCATGGCAGTACTTGAGCTGAGCAGTCGCACAACGAGTGTTCTTTAAAACGCCAAGATAAATGACGCTAAAAATATTACTTTCATGGTTGTGTGTTTTAAGACCTATCACCTCTCATTTTGTAACGCATTAATTATGAATGAGCACGAAAGCAAGATCCAAATGATTACAGTATTAAATGACAATGTTAGATATTTACAAAATGTGACTCTTACCCATTTCATTATGTACGCCGGTATCCAGAGCGTCTATAGGAGATACGTAAATAACTTAAAATTACCACAAAACCTCAGTATAAGTATACTTCAGCTGTCGTTCGCAAGGTAATTGTCTATGTTTCAGTATCCGTCAAAGTATGCCAGAAAATTAACATTACAACGACAACAACAGTAAAACACAGAAAATGGTTGACATAGCAAAAACCTTGGAACAGAAACACGTAGACACTGTGATGTGTACAAAGTCTGTTGTCTGGGATTCTTTTAGATCCTGAATCAGTTCTAATAAACCATGTGAAGCCGCTTATTGTGCAAATTGTGGCGTATAAATTAGCACCTCTTCACTTCTACATGGGACATCAACCTCCCACTCCCCCGCCGTTCCAACCTAACCTAAACCTCCTCCCACCCCAACCCGGCGACAGTTGTATCGCCCGGAAATCTGTAATTATCGTCCTCAAAGAGAAATTCCGTGACACAACACGTGTACTACAACCTCCACTTTAGAAGATTCCTACCACAACAGAGTTCTGTGGACAAGTGTCGTTCATAAATGAAAACTGTGCAGATGAAGGAAGAATACGCAAGTATAGATCTAGAAACATTGAGAGAAAAATGTGGAATGCAGGAGGAGAATGGAACACTTTATGAGAGGAAGAAATTACGTGAAGAGGAACAGAGGGAAAGTCTCTGTAGGAGGACAAAAGTCGAGAGAAAGAAAACTTTGCAAGAGGACAAAAACTTAAAGAAAGGTGTTAAAGGAGGAAAATCAGATAAATAAGTGTAGGAGACGACAAAAAAACAATGATCGTGTCATCTGCGAATCTTAATTTGTGTATAAATGCAGTGGAAGAACAGGACACAAGAACATTTAAGGACAAATACAAGACCAAATATCTGCTTTTAAGTTTGTGTTGTTGATTTGGTGATAACCGGATCCGCTGAGGGTGAATTACAATTACAAACATATAAAGTCAATCAAATGTCACATTTGAAAAATCTTGGTTAGGGGTTAGAAGAAGCTGAGAATGAAGATGAATCCAGATGTTTCTCTTCTGGACTCCTACGCCGTACAGTTTTTGCACAAGTTTTCCTCGCGCGGCTGGATCATAATCCTAATGATTGAGGCAGCAGGCACCTCTGTAACTTCGACAAACCACTACCAGACTACACGGCCCCAAAACAGAAGCAATGTATGCTACAGATCACCTTGAAGATTGAGGCAGAATGAATGCCCCAAATATCTGGAATACAGCCTACTTCTACGCTGTTTTATCTGCTACGTACAAGATCCACGTTAGCAATGAAGAAGCTTGGAATGTTCTATAACTACCACGTCTGACGTTGGCTTCACGATATTATCGTGCTAGAAGATCTGAAATAGACCTGTACGGAACATGTCGTTATTGGTACGAGAACCACAAAAACAGCGCGTTTTAATTGGCGAACATTACTCTAGTAAAAGCGAGAGACTCAATTGCGTAGTGGGAAGCCATAGCTAACATATGCGCATCATTACGGAGCCCTTGCTCATTAGCGGGACGAGAAAACGAGGTACGACCAAGTGGATCCTCAAGGGATAACTGCAGACTCTAGTAAAAAGTTCGTCTAATAGTAGGGGGATAACATTTCTTATTAATTACTGATACATTACGCTCCTTTCCACATAACAATTAGGCCTATAAGCACTCGCCGTTGGCACAGAGCATTTGGGTTCCGAAAGGATTGTTACAGCTTCAAGACTTCATGCTACTAATTTTATTTAAATCAATTCAATCTAGTACTGTAAGTTAAAATTTAATCAGAGCAGAATTTTGTTTGTAAGGACCTGGAGTCGTCTGATTTGAATCCCGGCTGTTATTAGTGTTTCTCGTGGCTTTCCTATCTTTTGCCATCAAATATTGCAGCAGTTCCTTAAAATAGGCTACGACCTCCCTCTTCCAAATTTGTACCTAATCGAAATCTGGTATTAAGAAATTCAAAATAGATCCGGACACTTATGGGCGCTATTTTATTGATGGGAAATGCGAGCAATAAGGAATTTCTAACTAACGCGAGGTTTGTTTTGGATTGATACCCTACTTGAAGTAGTAATTACATCTTGGGCTCGCACATTGCGTGGCATATGATGACATGACGATGAGACATAACATAAATATTAAACAGCTTTAACTCGAGAGTACTGCGTGGTATTTTCGACAACATATAACTCGTTGCCTCCAACTCCCCTGTCTGGTGGCTCTTTGTTACACGTACATAAAATTGTAATATACCAGATTTGTGTTAATGATGGCGTTTTACGAGTTTAGTGGTTACTTATTGACTTAGTTATATAAAATAAGAAAATCTCTAAAAAAATTGTTAATATCTCTTTTATTTTGAGAAATTGATCTGGATGGTGAATAAATACTTTACGCTACTGAAATGTTGCAAACATCAAGGAAGGGAGTTTATTCTGGGTTTAGTTCACCGAAGCGTCCGCAGTGGCCGCGCGGTCTGAGGCGTGGGCCTTGTGCCGCTTGGTCGCTGGGTGTCCTGTGTACAGGTAGAGGCCTTGCGACGGGCCGATCCCTCGTCCAAGGAGTCCTACCGAATGTCTATAGATCGAGTCGGGACCAGCAGTGCTCAGACACTTGAAGAACGGGTCGTTCCCGGTATCCCAGTTAGTTCACCGGACGGGTTACACTTTACGACTGTCGAAATATAGTGTGTTGCACATAAGCGATACCTATCTTCTTTTACCTACCTCATGTCGCTGTCGGCCATATTAACTTTGAGGCAATTTCTACTTTCGTCATGGATGGATGATGGAGTTATAATTTCACACACTCTTTAATTAGCTTGTTCTCTGTTGTTGCATGTCGACTCTTAAACAGGTTTATTAACGTCCTGACATCTATACCTACTACATGAAATTAATGGGATGAAGCCACGTTTGCTGAGTGAAAGTATAGACTTTTGTAAAATGTGGCTAGCAAAAAGAGAATTTACTTTGGCGTTTAGTTAATTTTCGTGTTTGAACGTACGCATTTTAAAATTGTGTATTATTATTGAGTGCGTAGAACGGCAGGTTGCTTCATTGCAACTTCATAGAATCCGAAAATTCAGTGCAATAAACACAAGAGCCCACTAATGATCCCTATACTGAACCAGATGAATCCAGTCGATCCAGTTATGCCCTACTTCCTTAAGAACCTTTTTAATATTATTCTCACTTTTATACAAAAGGTGGGCGAAGAAACCAAGGAGTTGTTCCCTACCCCACATCTACATCTGGATCTACCGAGTGGCTCTTCCTTTCAGTATGATGTAGATCAATTCTGCCTGCATTTGTCAAATAAAAGAATAGCGTCCCATTGCTAGAAATTATGATATTTCAATTGCGTTCTTCGTTCATACATGACTTTCACAGCCTGCAGTTAAGTTTAATATTTTCTCTTTATTAAGTTTTTATTAATTTATTCATGAGCCGGGATAGCTCAGTCAGTATAGTGACTAGCTACGGGCTGGACGACCGGGGTTCGATCCCCGACGGGGGCAGAGGATTTTTCCTCTAGCCTCTGCGTCCAGACCGGCTCTGGGGCCCACCCAGCCTCCTCTACAATGGGTACCGGGGTCCTTTCCCGGGGGTAAAGCCGGCCGGGGCGTGATACTGACCACTCACCCCCATCTAGTGCCGAGGTCAAGGAAGAGAGGAGCTATACCTCCACTCACCCCAAACGCCTACATGGCGTATAGTGGGACAAACTTTACCCTTTAACTTATTAATTTATTCTTTCATTTCCTGTGTACATCCACGTGATCGGTTAAGTATTACATCTTGGACTTCCCTTAGCCCCGGACAATAGAATTTAGTGGCAGCGATGGACCACCCCAGCGGCGAATTACGTAATTATCGCAGTTTAGCCCGCGGTGATCCTTCGAACAGTGACAAGGTGAGTGCCCGCAAATGATTAATCAATCGTATAACAATACCACGCTGCCCGCCCGCCAGCCCGACAGATGGCAGGCCTATTCTATTATTGAGCTGTCTGGTGCCGGAACCACTGACTAGTAAAAAGATCTTT